ACTGAGGTAAAGGGGGATACCTAGTCAGTTGTACAACTGAATGCATTCAACTGAAATGTGTCTTCCGCATTTAACCCAAACCCTCTGAACCAGAGAGGTACGGGGGGCTGCCTTAATCAACATCCACATCATCGGCGCTAGGGGAACAGTGGGTTAACTGCCTTGCTCAGGGGAAGAACGACAGATTTTTACCTTGTCAGCTCGGGGATTCGATCCAGCAACCAACGCTCCTACCCACAAGGTGAATGGGTGATAAATTATAATGCACTCCCATCCCCCCTTTCCTGAAGAATGCAATGGCTCATGTGGCCCAGCTTGCACACAGATGGAGTGGAAAAAGTGGGTGAAGGAGTGGGTCGGCTGGGATGATTTACAAGGACCAGGCCAGCAGTCTACTCCAGGGCCACATTCAGCAAGGCACAACTGTGGAATGTTCAGACATAAATATATTGTGTAGAACAGACCTGCCTCTCTGACATGTTGATTAAGGATTCATGACAGCTCTATTCATGACATTTCTATCTGCAATGTTCAGTTGGTTTAAAGTTTGGCTATTCTCTGTCATTGCGAAAGTAAGTGGAGGTCCTTCTTGTTATTGCTACCATACACTGTGCAGGGCTGTTTAGTTGATTGCTTTAAGCCAAATTACATTTCAGGGAAATAAGAGGGTCATGATGTATTTCCGGGAACCAGCATGAAAAAGAGCTGCTCACCAATTTGACAGCTCCAATGCAGTTACACCTCCAACATCGACTTAACAAAAACAATGATCTGCTGTGCAGTTTGCAGTTACTGTGGGTTAAGTCGAATCTGATTGAATTCAGGCCTTTATGTGCGTCTGTCTGTGTGCGCGCAAGTCATGTGTGCATTGTGTTTGTGCCTGCGTGTGACATGCTATGATTGGAATCCAGACCTTAAATCCTGCCTGCCTTTCATCAGCACTCAGCTGCTGTCTGGGTTTTAAAATGCCATTTAGGGCTCTACAGCTATGGACATTTGATCAAGAATAGAAATTACTCATAAGGTATTTTCATTCATTGTTGATGAGTGAAGCCTTTACAATGTATTGTGCAACACTCACAAAAAGCTCTAGGTGTTAGCTGTCAATGTTAGACACAAGAACTGCTATATGAATCGAAACACCTCTGTCGATCGAAATCTGTGCAATTTAATAACAGTTAAAATGCAAATTGACAACAGTCACAGCAGCACTGACTGTATGTTCTTGTTTTGTTTTCTGCAAGTCCTACAGGAGATGACGTTCCTCATGGCACTTCATCTGATTGGTCTGTCGGTGATGCTGTGGTCCAGCAGCCCCAGTCTGGCCACACCCCTCCCTTTCAACATTTCATTGGAGGGCAGTGCAGAGGGGGAGGAGCTAGACAGCTTCATTCCCACCCCTTCCCCACCTGCCACCAGTGGCCCCACCTCAGAGTCCTCAACCACCTCACATGGCTCCACCCACGTAGAGCACTTCCTGCTCAGCCAGATGGTTCACTTCCTGCAGGAGAACCTGTTCCTCATCCTAGTTTTCTTCACCCTCTTCATCACTATCTTCCTCATCCTCAGCTGTGCTTGCATCATGAGCCGCAAACGGAAGGTCAATGCCTACTACCCCTCGTCCTTCCCCTCTACGATGTACGTGGACCAGAGGGACAAGACCGGAGGTACCAAGCTTTTCAACGAGGTGCCAGAGAAACCCTCCAACGGGCAGCAGGCTGAGCCAGTGGACTCCAGCAAGAAGCTCCATCATGACATCATGAGGGCAGCCAAGAACCTCCGCACTCCCTCCAAGCCTCCCCTGGGCGAGCGAGAGGGAAAAGACTCCACACACATATCTGCAGCCGCAGAGAAAAGTCCTGAGGTGAATGTTCAGGCTGTGGGAGAAATCATAGAGAAAGACAACGAGCCATCGAATCCACCTGAGCTGAGTGAGGAGGAGGTATGCCAGCTCTCAGTCAGTGAGGCCCAACAGAGCAGCTGCCCTGAGCAGTCAGAAATCCTTCCAGAACAGACAGGCCTAAAAAAGGATGATGAGTCACTCACAGGAGCTGAGTCTCCATCTGGCCCAGGGCACTCACAGGCCCAGCAGGAAGAGGACAGGCAAGAGGACTCCACTGTTAAGCTGTCTATTCCGTTGATCACTGGAGAGAAAACAGCATTTTAGCCATGCTCTCGACACTATGTTTGAGCTCAATGGTTTGGACCAATTTTGCATGAGTGACTGACTATCTTTAAGGTCTTTGGATTTACCAAATGATGTCTGTTCAGTTCTGTGTAATCATATACTTGTTTTACTTCTGTTTCCCAGTAGCCATCTTTCAATGTCTCTCTCTAAAGGGTTAACGCTATGTAACCTGCCATCTTTCAATGTCTCTCCCTAAAGGGTTAACACTATGTAACCTGCCATCTTTCAATGTCTCTCCCTAAAGGGTTAACACTATGTAACCTGCCATCTTTCAATTTCTCTCCCTAAAGGGTTAACACGATGTAACCTGACCATACACCCCTATATATGCTGTCTTGTTTGAGGTTTCTGTGTTGTTTTTATTTGTATTTGTAAAATGGCCAAAGTAATGGTGCTGCCTTTTGTTTTTCTCTCTCTCCATTGGTAGGTTAGTGAGGTGTTAATCCTAGGTTAGAGATCATTTTCAGGGCAATTTGCAGTTGCTTTTTCTTGAAGTACAAATATGGATAAGTACAGGGTAAGTTAGCCTCTTTTAGAATCTTAGAGTGAAATACTTACACACTCATCTCTAACATGTAGGCTTATCATTCCTGAACAGTCCCATTACAAGTCAGAATGTTGAACAAACTTTATTTAAATGTACTTTACCTGTTGTCCACCGATTTTGTCCTTATCAAATCAAATTGTATTTGTCACATGCTCCGAATACAAGAGGTGTAGACCTTACAGTGAAATGCTTACTTACAAGCCCTTAACCAACAATGCAGTTAAGAAAAATAAGTGTTAAGTAAAAAATAAAAAATAATTAAAGAGCAGCAGTAAAATAACAGTAGCGAGGCTATATACAGGGGGTACCGTTACAAAGCCAATGTGCGGGGGCACAGGTTAGTTGAGGTAATATGTACATGTAGGTAGAGTTAAAGTGGCTATGCATAGATAATATACAGAGAGTAGCGGCAGCGTAAAAGAGGGGGTGTGGGGGACAATGCAAATAGTCCGGGTAGCCATTTGATTAGCTGTTCAGGAGTCTTATGGCTTGGCGGTAGAAGCTGTTAAGAAGCCTTTTGGACCTAGACTTGGCACTCCAGTACCGCTTGCCGTGCGGTAGCAGAGAGAACAGTCTATGACTAGGGTGGCTGGAGTCTTTGGCAATTTTCAGGGCCTTCCTCTGACACCGCCTGGTATAGCGGTCCTGGATGGCAGGAAACTTGGCCCCAGTGATGTACTGGGCCGTACGCACTACCCTCTGTAGTGCCTTGCGGTCAGAGGCCGAGCAGTTGCCATACCAGGCAGTGTTGCAACCAATCAGAATGCTCTCGATGGTGCAGCTGTATAACTTTTTGAGGATCTGAGGACCCATGCCAAAGCTTTTCAGTCTCCTAAGGAGGAATAGGCTTTGTCGTGCCCTCTTCACAACTGTCTTGGTATGTTTGGACCATGATAGTTTGTTGGTGATGTGGACACCAAGGAACTTGAAGCTCTCAACCTGCTCCACTACAGCCCCGTCGATGAGAATGGAGGCGTGCTCGGTCCTCTTTTTCCTGTAGTACACAATCATGTTGGCGGTAATCTGATACAAACTATCCACAGAGAAGCGTTATCAACCGGACTTCAGTATGCTGGTCTGTATATTTAATGTGACAAACACTTGCACAATATGACAGAACCTAACTGAATCACAGACCGAAAGGCAAACACTTCCAGCTGATTGCAAGGAAACTGCTTCGGTTGACAACTTTCGGTTACATTTGGCTATTTTTTTACATATTGTGCATCATGTGAAATGCGACATCTTTCACACTGATATCCATGGTAACAGTCTAATGTTTAGACAAAGGTTAAGTTCACCATGAGCACCTCATGGTGCAGCATCTGCCACAACTTGAACTCAGACAGTATGTTTCCTACATTAAGGGAGGTATTTTTGCATTATAACACCTGTGTTTATTGTTTAGTTACTTAACTGTTTATCATTTCTCTTTAAACATTTCCATTAAAGGGCCAATCCGGAGTTCAAACAATAACAAAGCCGTCACCCCACCATTGGTTTTGGTAAAGAGCTGAGAGATGGGGCTTAATAAATAGAACCACTCTCAAATTCATAGACAGAGCTATGGATACAAGGACTGAACATCCATGAGCTCAAATTGATAGCTTTAACCATGTTTAGAAGCTATACAGTGTTTGTTTACATTGACTTTGTTCACAAACATTGGAGTAAAACAAGTGTATATTTCGGGTTTTGATGGGGTGCGACAGTTGAACTAAGCTCATGAAGCATTTGTAAGTTACATTCATCAAGAATCAATGGCTACATATCATTAATTTAAAGCTGCAATATGGAACTTTTTGGGGCGACCTGACCAAATTCACATCTAAAAAGCGGCAGATCTGTTCTATGCCTTTCATTAAGTTTAGTTTGTCTTTTACTTTCGGTTTTGTACAACAGCTTCAAACACAATATTTTTTGTTACTTAAAATGTAAATTATTTCCCAGCGGTTTAGATGGTACAATGATTCTCTACACTTTACTTGCTTCTTTTGTCACAAACTGAAATTAGGCAAACTATTACAATTTTAGCAACCAGGAAATGGCAGAGCAATTTCTTCAGAGTGCACAGTCCAAAAGTGGATGTAGCAACTCTGGATTGGCCCATTAAGGGACAACAGTTGCTCTGCTGCAGACCCAGGTCCTGTGACAGAACTTGGGAAAGCACCCAACACAGCGGTCTACTCTACTGGTACTGTTCCATTACAATACAATACAGGCTGGTTAGTCCTGTGTGTGTAGTGTGGTTAAAAACATGACCTGGCACACAACCAAGCATTTTTGAAGAAGTGCTGACTAATGGAGAGTAAACTGTGGTGTTCTGGTTTCTTAATTTTCATAGTGTTCTTTGGTTGAATACAGTAGAATTTGTGAAGACAGTAAAGAGAGCAGCATTCTAAAATGTGTTGTGTGTTTGAGTTGGTATTTGATAAAAGCAGAACCACTATCTGAATTTATGGATGAAGTCAGAATGTATTTACATGGCTCTGGATAAAGTATGCCAATGATGCCATCTAGTGGAGAATAAAAGCACTGCTCTAGTTTCTGGTAGTCTGCACACCGCTAACAAATACCTCAAAGCTGATTACAGAGACTTTGCATGACTAAAAATAAACAGATAACATACTAAATACACGTACTACTTTATTAAATTTGCATTACAACCAGGAAGCCTTTTGCCTTCTGGTAGGCTGTCATTGTAAATATGAATTTGTTCTTAACTGACTTGCCAAGTTAAATAAAGGTTAAATAAAATAAAAAGTCTGAAATGTCACTAAAGAATCCAAATAGATACCTTAACAGTTTGCTACCATTTTACATCTTCCGACTTGCATTTCATCATCGCCTTTCCAAACATTTGTACTACATGGGTGTTGATGGGATACCTTTAGAAGTCTTATTCAATACTTCCACCACTGCATACAGAATCATTTCCCAATGGAAAATACCCCCAAACCATGACAAAATAAAGCTAATAAAAACAAAGCAAACTTCTCGGCTCACCTCGCATTTCTCACTCCTGAAAATAAGGCTTACTTTGTACCAATCACCCGATCAGTGCCCTTAAATTGTGCGTTAACGTGACAGGCTACAGAGTAAAGATTGGGAAACCACAGATTGCCACAGGGGCCTGGTGTGTATACTGTGTTATCTATGTACGTTGTATGGGGGGACATAACCTGGACTCATATATAGAAGGATGGAGGAGTGGGTAGCCAGGACTACATTTGAGTGTCCCCTTGGCAGTAGGGTGCAGGACAGGGGTGTCCAGGACTACATGGGAGAGCCCTCCCTTAGTTGCTGGCTTTGACAGCCTCAATCTTGCCATCCTGCTGTTTGAGACGGTAGTCATGCAGGGCAGCTTTGATGGCATCCTCTGCCAGCACTGGAGAAAAAGGCAAGAATTTCAAATAGTTGTAAAAGATGTTAAAAAGGCACGTATGGTTTAGAACTTCAACTTGTTAGACGGGGCAGAACAGTATTAGATATTAGACTGAAATAAGGGCTTACTGGAGCAGTGAAGTTTGACCGGTGGAAGACTGAGCTCTTTGGCAATGTCCGTGTTCTTTATTGTCAGTGCTTCGTTAATCTGAAAGCCAAAAAGAGGGCAACGTCCACCAACCAATAAATAAACTCGATCCATCCATGATATGTAATGAAAGGAAAAAACAAACCGTGGTGGAAATGACTTGAATTGAGAAATACAAAACAGAGCAACAACATTCAAACAGAACAGTAAAACAGGAAGCAGAGGAAGTGTCATGGATGCAGAATGTTCACTCACAGATTTGCCCTTCACCCACTCCGTTACCAGGGAGCTGGAGGCGATGGCTGAGCCGCAGCCGAACGTCTTGAACCTGGCGTCCACAATCTTCCCCTGATCATCCACCTCAATCTGTAGATGAGTCACTTTATGCAACAGTGTCTTTTGTCCACATAATTGAATAAATAAACAATGTTGTAACATTACTAAATACATACTTGGTAACTAAATAAACAGAGCACGCTGCTTCTTGCTAAATCCTATCTGTGCTGTTATCTGCTTCTTTGGAACACAACCAAGACATGGTGACCTCATTCAAAATCCCAGGCCATCTGAGGTTCCTGTGAGGTTGCCATGGTGAGACAGAGGGAGTAATGAGGACAGGGGACCAACATACCTGAAGCTTCATCACATCTCCACAAGCTGGGGCTCCCACCAAGCCTGTTCCCACATTTTTGGAGGTCTTGTCCAGGGATCCAACATTCCTTGGGTTCTCATAGTGGTCCACTACCTAAACATGGCAACAAGGAGACAAAAACATATTGAAGAACTGTCGTTTCCACTTAACTCAAGTTTATAATGTCCCCATCATGGTAATATTCTCTGCTGCATAGCTACAAACATTCACATAATATCATCCTTAAATTCATTCTGACTGTCTCCCAAAAAAGCAGCCTCAAGGCTGAGAGGGCTCTTGCATTCCCGTTATGTAAGGGGGAGTTTCAACGTTACACAAGGAAAATTAAAATAAACAGATTAGGACAGGGCTCCACTGTCCACAACTGTAGTACTTCTTGCTGCAACCTCCCTCCCCCCAGATGTAATCGCCATGATGCAGAGTCATTCTCTGCGCACTATTGAACAATGCTTTGTGTCTGACTATCCTAAATATTTGGTGAGTTTGTTAGGGGCCAGTTGGTACTGATAACAGTTGTTTTATTGACTTGCCTAAATCTCATAACTGTGGGAGCAGCCTTAAATGACCAACCTCATGTTCCTTTTGGCCAAAGAAGGCTTTGTAAACATTATTGTAGGCTGTTCAGAATTAGTGATGAAATGTTAGCCTAAATCCAAATGGACAATTCCACCAAATAGATGGCATAATCTATAGGTTATTGTGTTCTCTAACACATGTATATAATACAGGTTCAACAGAAACCGAGAGTTACTGTGGAAATGTGATCTTATTTCACACGTTCTGTAGAAAAATCCAGAATCAATTAAACTGCGTATATTGCCAGGGCAGGTAGTACACTGGTGCTACCACTATGCTGCTTCAGAGCACTGACTGTCACCTGTAGCGTTAGTGTTACCAAACAGCTAATTTATGGAATTCGCTAAAACAGCTGAGGAAGGAACATATTAACCTTCAGGTATAGCTAGCTACATCAGTAGGACCTGCATCAACCGAGATACAGCTGGAGATTAAAATTGCATTGCCCGAAAAATTGTATTTTTCAGAAAGAACATTATCTAATATGTTAGCTAGATAGATATACGCTAGCTAACTAGGCAAGGCATGTGACGCATGTTGTTAGCTAAGCTAGCTACTTCGACCTCTATTTTAAAATATTTCAACTAGATACTCTAAGAGAAACATCTAAACAAATACATTACTAGATATTCAATGCTAAATTTACTTCTAGACAAGCTTACATAGCAACTAGCTAACGTTAGCCTAAGTTAGTTGTCAAAACAAGCTAGCAAGCCATTCACATTGAATGAGTTTACGACCTAAACAGTGACACGTGGCTTAATTTATCAGCCATCAAACACAGCTAGCTATACAGGTTATTTGACCTTCTTGTGGTAGGCGGCTTGGACCGTATATTCCGGGGAAGTGATCCTTCTGATCACAACAAGCGGGGTGATGCACTTCTTTGCCATTAGACCCGCCATGTTCGCTGTTTGTCTGAAATGACGAGTCTGGAAGAAGGCGAGCCTATACCCTTATCATGCGCGTGACAGTGTAGGAGGAGGAGCTTTTGGACTGATCCCAGTGAATGACAGAGACGTGTATGGATTTGTAAATAATATTCAAATATATAAACTTTTTAATGTAGCAATATTCAACAAATATATCTAAAGGTTAGGTATGAGCCCTAAAGGCAAACACAGGGTAGTAGATAATTAACCATAATTAATTACATTGTGTAGAAAAACAAAAAAACGTTGTATGTGTTATGTATGTATGAGTTATAATAATATGCCATTTAGCAGACGCTTTTATCCAAAGCGACTTACAGTCATGCGTGCATACATTTTTGTGTATGGGTGGTCCCGGGGATCGAACCCACTACCTTTGCGTTTCAAGCGCCGTGCTCTACCAGCTGAGCTACAGAGGACCACAGTAGAGAGTTTATGTGACAGTAGAGAGTTCATGGTCGTGGTAGGAGAGGTATCCTATGTGTTATGTATGTATGAGTTATGTGACAGTAGAGAGTTCATGGTCGTGGTAGGAGAGGTATCCTTGACCTTTCATATCAGCAAGTCTAAAAATACACACAAAACAAACTAACCTTGCAGGTTTATTTCATTTCCTGAGTTTAACACAAGAGGGCGATATTGGTCAAGCTTTAAATATAGCTCTCCAGCTGTATGAAAATAAAGCGATATAACATTAGTAGTGCTCTCCACGGTGCTGAACACGCAAAGCGTGTGATATGGAAGCACACATATAGGATCCCCATACCCATTCCTTTATGTAGTTGTGACAAATAACGAAAGGAAAAGTGAGCCATTGGTCAAGAGGCAAGGGTGTTTCAACTCAGGGAACACTCAGTAGGCTGTATAGCTGCTGTCACTTCACACTGACACAGAAGGTGAGTCCTTTACTTTTCACCTTTTTATGTCAAAGTGCTTAAGGTAAACTCACGTTTGACAAAGACAAATAGTGAGAGGTTATTTGAGCACAGGACTAGCTGTAATTGTATGCTTTCAATGTGTTGTCTGATCATTTGTATGTACAGTGCATTCGGAAAGTATTCAGACATTTACATTTTTTTGTCATTTAGCAGACGCTCTTATCCAGAGCGATTTACAGTTAGTGAGTGCATACATTTTTTTCATATTGCCCACCGTGGGAAACGAACCCACAACCCTGGCGTTGCAAGTGCCATGCTCTACCAACTGAGCTACACCATAATGACAAAGCAAAAACAGGTTTTTAGACATTTTTGCAAATTTCTTAAAAATAAAAAACTGAAATATAACATTTACATAAGTATTCAGACCCTTTACTCAGTACTTTGAAGAAGCATCTTTGGCAGCGATTAAAGCATTGAGTCTTCTTGGGTATGACGCTACAAGCTTGGCACACCTGTATTTGGGGAGTTTATCCCATTCTTCTCTGCAGATCCTCTCAAGCTCTGTCAGGTTGGATGGGGAGCGTCGCTGCACAGCTATTTTCAGGTCTCTCCAGAGATGTTCGATCGGGTTCAAGTCCGGGCTCTGGCTGGGCCACTCAAGGACATTCAGAGACTTGTCACGAAGCCACTCCTGCATTGTCTTGGCTGTGTGCTTAGGGTCATTGTCCTGTTGGAAGGTGAACCTTCGCTCCAGTCTGAGGTCCTGAGCGCTCTGGAGTAGGTTTTCATCAAGGATCTCTCTGTACTTTGCTCCATTCATCTTTCCCTCGATCCTGACTAGTCTCCCAGTCCCTGCCGCTGAAAAACATCCCCACAGCATGATGCTGCCACCACCATGCTTCACCATAGGGATGGTGCCAGGTTTTCTCCCGACGTGACGCTTGGCATTCAGGCCAAAGAGTTGAATCTTGGTTTCATCAGACCAGAGAATCTTGTTTCTCATGGTCTGAGAGTCCTTTAGGTGCTTTTGGCAAAGTCCAAGCGGGCTGTCATGTGCCTTTTACTGAGGAGTGGCTTCCATCTGGCCACTCTACCATAAAGGCCTGATTGGTGAAGTGCTGCAAAGATGGTTGTCCTTCTGGAAGGAACTCTGGAGCTCTGTCAGAGTGACCATCAGGTTCTTGGTCACCTCCCTGACCAAGGCCCTTCTCCCCCAATTGCTCAGTTTGGCTGGGCGGCCAGCTCTAGGAAGAGTCTTGGTGGTTCCAAACTTCTTCCATTTAAGAATGATGGAGGCCACTGTGTTCTTGGGGACCTTCAATGCTGCAGACATTTTTTGGTACCCTTCCCCAGATCTGTGCCTGGACACGATCCTGTCTCGGGGCTCTATGGACAATTCCTTTGAACTCGTGGCTTGGTTTTTGCTCTGACATGCACTGTCAACTGTGGGACCTTATATAGACAGGTGTGTGCCTTTCGAAATGATGTCAAATCAATTTAATTTACCACAGTTGGACTCCAATGAAGTTGTAGAAACATCTCAAGGATGATCAATGGAAACAGGATGCACCTGAACTCAATTTCGAGTCTCATAGCAAAGGGTCTGAATACTTATGTAAATAAGGTTTTTATTTTTATTTTTAATACATTTGCAAAAAAATCTAAAAACCTGTTTTCGCTTTGTCATCATGGGGTATTGTGTGTAGATTGACGAGGGAAAAAATGTGTTTAATCCATTTTAGAATAAGCCTGTAATGTAACAAAATATGGGAAAAGGGAAGGGCTCTGAATACTTTCCGAATGCACTGTATATCTAGCTGATAATTATGAAGTAAAACGTTTGCTTTGTGTATATCTTGTTTAATCTCTATTGTTGCCATTGTCCTGGCTGGAAGAAGGTTCAGTGAATGGGGAGATGCAGCGTGAGGTAATACAGTAGGGGGAGTGCGAGTGCTTCTCAAATTAAATGTTTTATGTGTTCTCCACACTCTCATCCTCACAAGGACGTACTCAAGATAACGTCCTCGGAGAATGCACATGGAGCATGAGAGTGTGGAGCACGGTAGTATGCATATTTAGGGTGCGTTCGTAATTTACTCTTGCTATCTACTCCGATTTCAGAGCACTCTCATCTCAGTGTGCCAGAGCGCAGAATAACTGATGAATTTACGAACGCTCAACACCCGTTGAATATGGCCGGTGTCAGTAAACATTAGTCAAAAAATGTTGCCAGCAGCACAGTTACAGTCACCAACGATCTGGATAACATGAAAACAGCCTAACCAGCTCTGCTAGGGCGAGTAAATGGTCAGAGTGAGGTGTTTCTCATTTGTGTCTGGAAGTAGCAAGCAAGCTAGCCAACATTAGCCAGTTAGCTTGGGTGCTTGACTAACATTGTGAGGTCAGAACAGTCGGATCAACCTTAATCCTCAGCCAGAGCATCCAGTGTGCACTCTGTACGCTCCGAGAGAGTGTTGGAGAGACTACAGAAAGATAGGGAGGGTGTTGATCCAGCTGATTTCTTTAAGAGACGTCTGGAAACTGTGTATCAGGATTTTGTGGCCATTTACACAGATGGTTCAAAAGATCCAAGGACAGGACATACTGGGTCAGCATTTGTAGTGCAGGAATGTGGGGTGGAAGTCAGGAAACGTATTACAGATCATCTGGCTGTATATACGGCGGAGCTGATGGCCATACTGTTGGCCTTGCAGTGGGTGGAGGAAGTCAAGCCAGACAGAGTAGTTATTTGCTCTGATTCATGTGCAGTGTTGATGAGTCTCCAGTCCTTTAGCTCACGTAGCAGACAAGACCTGCTTTATGAGGTGCTACAAACCCATGGTAGGATTAAACAGATGGGTATTCAGATAAGATTTACTTGGGTTCCAGCCCATGTGGGGGTGGAGGGGAATGAGGCAGTAGATGAACAGGCTAAACAAGCACTTAGTAGTGGGGATGTTTATGTTGAAGTGTCAATGAGCAAGGCAGAGGCAAAAAGACTGATATATACAGTGATGGTGCAGAGATGGCAGGAGCAGTGGAATATCAATATTAAGGGAAGGCATTTATTTCAAGTACAGAGGAAAGTCGGGGAGGGGAGGACGGCAGGAAGGGACAGAAGAGAGGAGGCTATATTTACAAGATTAAGGGTGGGACACAGCCAGTTGAATAAGACACTAAGCGTGATAGGAAAGCATCCATCAGGAAAATGTGATTATTGTCAGGAAATCGAGACTGTGGAGCATGTATTGCTACAGTGTGGGCAGTATCAGAGGGAAAGAGAGAGGATGAGATTAAGTATGTGGGAGAAGGGGATACAGGACATTATTTTAAAGAATATATTGAGTAGAACGTCATTAGATATAGTATCACATATTTTGTTGTATTTTTTAAGAGAAACTGGGTTGGCAGGTAGGATTTAGTTTATCCCTGTCTCTGGTCCACACTCCAGTATGGTAGGTGGCGGTAATGCACCATAACGTTGGATGCCAACTGCCGATAAACCCCACTGAAGAAAAAGAAGAAGAAGAAGGAATGCCTACTCTGTGAAGTGTGTGTGTGCGTTAAGGTAATTCGCCCTTGCACTCCTTCTAAATAACAACATTAAAAAAAACTTTGGCAAAGGATAAAGTCTACAAAACGCAATCCACGCTGTTTGTTACAGATGATAGTTTTGGAAACAGAAAACTGTATGGAGATAAAATGTTTCATCAATGAGACAATTAGCTGAATGTCGGCCAAAATCCATCTTCTCCCACTGGGCTTCCTCTCATCACCATGAGTAGCAAAGCCAAATGGATGCGTCACATTTGTACATCTGGTGAAATATCTGGCTCGTTGTTCTATCTGTGATAATAACAAAGTCAATATCAACATGTGAAGTAGCTAGCTAGCTGTAAAATCGCTTAAACAAACTGCACTATAAATTTTGAAGTTTATCTCACAGTGTTCAACTTGTAGTATGTTGCTATGTGTCATGTCTCCTCCCGTTGCTCCCCTCCGGTGCTCAGATTCGCTGGTCTACTGAGCCACCGGTCTGAGCGCACCACCTCGGCAACACAGGAATTGAAACCCAACGCACCCTAATCACCTCCAGTGCACCTGCACCTGCACCTCATCATCACCACTATATAGCCCTGGACTGTTCAGTCATTGTTGTGTGTAATTG